ACCTCACATCTTGTTTCTCTGGTGTCTGCTGGTGTCTCCCTGAACTCTGCCTTCTTTCAGTTCGGGTTTCCCACCCAGCTCTATTCTGCCCTGCCATACGCCAAAGCAGCTTCTTTATTAACAAATGGTAATAAAACATATTCACAGCATCCAGAGGGTCATCTCACATCAGTAATTGACTGCAGGTCATGTCTGAAGAGAGTCTGACATTCTAGTCACTGGAGAAAAGACCGCTGCCAATGCCTGGGCTTTCCCAAATTACATTGTGTGATAAATTCTGCCCCTGGGGTGTTCTTATAACAAAATTGTAAAGCCCTCACCTTTTCAAGTATGCAATTTAGTGCATTCACAAGGTTACTCCATCATTGCCACTGTGAAGTTCCAAGACATTTCATCACCCTGGCTCAGAGGGTAAGAGCACTGTCTGTTCTCCCAGGGGTCCTGAGTTCAGTTCCCAGTAACCACATGGTGGCTCACAACCATCTGTAATGAGATCTGGTTCACTTTTCTGGCCTGCAAGTGACATGCAGGCAGAACACTATACATAATAAGAAAGAAGGGAAGGAAGGAGGAGGGAACGGAAGAAAAAAATAAGAAAGAAAGAAAGTACAGAAGGGAGAAAGAAAGAGAAAAAGGAAGGAAAAGAAAGAAGAAAGGAAGGAAGGAAGGAAGAGAAAAGAGGTGAAGGAGGAGAAAGAGAAAGGAAGAAAAAAGAAAAGAAAGAAAACTCTTTTACCAATCACTTCAGTTACCTCCGTCCCTTAGCTCTGGGAGAAAATGCTAATCTCCTTTTTGTCTTTAGGGATCTGTTTATTCTGGACATTTCTCATTCCATAAACACACAGTGAGTGGCCTTTTATGTCTGCTCTACTTCACTTGTGGTATTTTAAAGGCTCACCTGTGCTCTACCGTGCATCAGTACTTTGATCTTTTTATGCCTGAGTAATATGAGTGTGGATTATAAATATTAGTTATCTCTTCATCTGCTGGACATTTGGTTTTATTCCATTTTTTAGTTACTATGAATAAATAATGCATGAATATTGCTGGATTGCAGCTCACTTATAAATGTTGAATTTTATGTTATATGAATTATTCTGTACTTTAAAGAGTTTTATCTCAGATAAATAGCCTCTTCACCTCCCCGCTCCCAACCCCCCAAGTAATACCTGCTTGGTATTTTGTTAGTTTTTGTTGTTGTTCAAAACTGGGACTTAGCCGGGCGATGGTGGCGCACGCCTTTAATCCCAGCACACGGGAGGCAGAGGCAGGCGGATCTCTGTGAGTTCGAGACCAGCCTGGTCTACAAGAGCTAGTTCCAGGACAGGTTCCAAAACCACAGAGAAACCCTGTCTTGAAAAAAAAACAAACAAACAAACAAAAGAAAAACCCAGGGACTTATGTAACCCAGACTTTGGCCTCAAACTTTCTTCAGTGCATATATAAAATCTTTCACCTTTTTCAAACTCACTATGTAGCAGAAGCAGACCTTAAACACTCAATCTTCTGCTTGTCTCCCAAGTGCTGGGATTAATTACATGTGTGCACCTCCACCCTCAGCTGTTACCTACATGTTGGAGGTTAGTAGAGAATATTTTTAAAGTAAGTTCTTTTTCTTCTTACCTGGAGCTTTCCAGTATGTTTTTCCTTATGAACACACACACAGAAAACAGAAACCTGTGTGTGGAAAACATTTGTGCAGAAGTATTGGACAAGAAAATCCTCAAGTGTGTTCTGTGCAGAGGCTAAGATGAGACGTTGGATCAGACAGGTGCTCACGGTCTATCAGGAGAAAGAGACCTGCAATAGCATGAATGTGAGGCACGAACACGTGGCAGCCAGAGCGGTGGAGGATAGTAAACACCAGGTGTGAGCAGCCCTGCCTGCAGCCTTGTCAGCTAAGGCCCACAGGCTGCCTCTTAAAGTACCAATCAGGAACTGACCTGGTGCAAAGTGCTTATGGAATGAGAACTGAGGAGAATGTGGGGCTTTCATCTCATAGCTGAAGGCTTTCTTCTTCAGGGAAGGGGGAAATGGCCTTAAGTTTCAGTGTTCTTTCTTTGATAATGTAACGTGTCCAGCCAGGGCCTACAAAGGGGATTTGTGTGTGCAGGCCCAGATGCGGAAACACACCTGGCAGAAGCCACACTCTTCTCACAGTAAATGAGACAGCTTGCCTGGCCCGTGTGTGGCCCCTTCTGTTTTGAAGGTGCTGGGAATCCCATGTGAGCCAATCAGAGGCAATTAAGTTGCTGTATGAAGAACTTTAGCTTCCCATGTGGACTTGAGATACACTGTCATCATCGCCAAAAGAATGGATTCTTTTAAAATTGGAAATCCTTTCCCTTCTTGGCAAATACTTCATTTCATCTAGCCCCGCAGAGTTTATAGGACATGTCACTCCAGTTATTTAAAGTCCAGTCCAGACTAGCAGTTCTCTCTGGTCCGCAGCAGCTGCTGAGCAGGAAGGAGAAGTGCGACCCAGATGGCTGACAGCAGGCTGTCACCCAGAAGCTATCCTGCGCCAGCGGTTGCTGTTGGCAAAGACTTGTTTTCACCATAGCAGATGAATAGGAGAAGCAGCATGGCCCTCGGCACCCGCTCTTGAGTACAACAGTATTTTTCAGCCGGGTAATTAGTGCGCAGTGCCGGGGCTGGGAAGAAGGAAGCATTCTGCTGTGCCTTTCACACTTGTAAGCTGACAGCCCACTGCTCCCGTTTCTTGGAGAGATCCCAGAGAGTCAGTGGGCCAGGCTGTCTGTGTGGTGTTGGGAAGAAACCGGTTTCAGAAGACTTTCAGTCTTGTGCCCCTGCTGCTTTCTTTCCAGCGAAGTAGGTGCTATGCACACCTGTGATCCTAGTGTTGAGAAGGCAGAGGCAGGAAGATGGCCACCTCTTTAAGAGGTTGAGGCACAAGGATGGGAGAGTGGATCTGGGAGGAATGGGAGTGAGTGTGATGGCATACGTTGTATGAAATTCCCAAATAATTAATAAGAATATTATGTTTTGGGGGAAAAGATATTTGTGATTATAAAAAAATATTTTTTGTATTAGTCCCAGATATTTGAGAGGCTAAGGAAGATCATTTGAGTCCAAGAGTTCACAGCTAGTCTAAGAAACATAGTGAAACCCAGTTAAAAAAAATCCAAATGAAAATAGGCAGAGTTTTTCTGTGTTCTGGCAGCCATTCCCAAATAACCACTTAGAGACTTAATATTAATTATGAATGCTAATACAGTCACCATCAGACTTTCTTCATGTACAGAGGCCATTGTCTGACTACAAAACAGCACCTGAGTATTTTGAATAAGAATTTAGTATTTTAAATGTGAGTAAACAGAATTATCTTAAAGTTGATAGCAGATACCTCAGGGGTTTTGTTTTTTTGTTGTAGTTCACTTTTGGTTTTTTTGTAATGCCTTTGAATGATGTGGGCACTTGGCAGCCATTCCCATAATCATCCAACTGTGGCCATTCTCCTGGTTTCAGCAATTACATCAGCTTGCGCTACTGGTAGATGCTAAAATATCACAAATACATTTGGAAACTTCCTTTCCACTTAGCCTCTTGTCTCCTTTTGTCCTGCTTGCCGTTTGACTTCCTTTCTGCTGAAACTCTCAGCACCTAAGCATAAAAGACTCCTTTGGTTCAGAAATCCTAAAATGTTCCCAAGACTTGTGTGGGCTCTGCACTGCGATGGAGTTAGCATCGTCGGTGAGCCCGTACTTGTGCTTCTGCTTGGTTTTCGCACGTTGATTACATTTGATCCTTGAAGCAGTCTTGTGACTGTAGCGTCACTCAGAGATGCAGCTCCTGTGGCTCAGAGACGCTAGATGGTTTGACCATCACGGCAGAGTTGGAGCTAAAACCCAATCTCCTGCCCCCGGCTTTCCCAGAGCCTGTGACTCTCTCATTGATGTATTTTGAAACAGTTATCTCGTTCCAGAGATGAGGAATAGTTGTTCTCAAGGAACTTTCTGTTGTGATCATTATAATGGGACTTGACTTGGGAATGGATTTCTGGCTTTAATCTAGAACATGTGAGGTTAGCTCTGTGGTTCTTGAATTCAAACCCATCTGGCATTTGGATTCATCCATATTTATTGAGCACCTATTACATGGAAGGCACCAAAGACACATGGAGACCAGCAGCTACATGTTTCTAGCCACCACAGTCTCTCCCCCTTTCCTCCTCTCCCACTCTCCCCATCTTCTCCTCTCCCCTCTCCCACTCCCCCTTCTCGTGAGCCTGCCGGTGTGTGTGTACTTACATGTGGAGGCCAGAGGAGGATGTTGGAATTCTTTCTAAGCCGTATTCCCTTGAGAAAGAGTTACTATCATCCAGACTAGCCAGCAAGCTCCCGTGATCTACCTGTCTCTACCTTATAACATTAGGGTTACAGCACAGGCAACTTACGCCCAGCTTCATATGTACCCGTAAAGCTTATACACATTGCCCAAACTTGGCAGATGAGGAAGACTTCCCAAAAGAGACCTCTCAAGTGAAGACTAAAGGATGAGTGAGAGTTCTAGCCAGCTAAGAACTGGAGTAGGGTACCTGGGCTACATAGTGAGTTCTAGGACAGTCAGGGCTACATAGACAGACCAGTCTTTAAAAGAAAGAATTGGAGTAGAGTGGGCAGTGCAGGTTCTAGAAAATGCAAGAGGAAATTGGTCAGTGGTGGCGCACACTTTTAATCCCAGCACTAGGGAGGCAGAGGCAGGTGATCTCTGTGAGTTCGAGGCTAGCCTGGTCTACAGAGCTAGTTCCAGGGCAGCTAGGGCTACACAGAGAAACCCTGTCTCAAAAAAGAAAAAAATAAAACAAAACAAAAAGTCCAAGAGGAATATGAAGACATGCAGATGAGAATGTGGCCCCTATGCCTCTGTTCTTGTTATAAGGGCAGATCCAATGATCCAGCTGTCAGGAAGAGTTGGATAAAGTAGGTTGTTGGCAAGGCTCATGCTCAGAAAATAACCTCTTTTTTGTTTCTTAATAGAAAAAGCTGGAGTCCCCACTGCCATCTACCAATCCCTTCCTGGAAGAGGAGACAACACCAGAGATGGAGGAGCTGGCGCTGGAGAAAGGAGAATTAGAGCAAGTGAGTCTGCTTGTTTCGTAGTGTGTAACCAACTCAGTCTGCTTGTGTTGTAGTGTGTTACTGACTCAGCCTGCTTGTGTCGTAGTGTGTAACCAACTCAGATTGCTTGTGTCATAATGTGTAACCAACTCAGATTGCTTGTGTTGTAGTGTGTAACCGATTCAGTCTGCTTGTGTCATAGTGTGTAACTACTCATGCACCTTTCTGGAAGCGAGCTAGGGACCACACTTAGAGATCACAGTGGTGGTGGGCTTTACAGAAGACCTGGCCAGATAACAAAGAGCAATTTGCCTGCCCCTGATCTGTTGCAGAAGAACCTTCCCTCAGTATTGAGCACCACCACCACCACCCCTGCCCACCCCACCCCCCACTCTCCACAGCCCACGTAGCAGAGCTGCCCAGTACAGTTCTTCCTTGTTCAGCATCTGGGTCTGTCAGGAAGCTTTCCTTCCTCTCATCCAGCACCATGATGATGTGAGACACTGTGGGGTTAGCAGTGTCATGGGCTGGGAGAGGCCTCCACATAGCAAGCCAACATGGAAACCACTGGAGAGGCCTTGGAAACATCAGGGTAACCAGCAGCATCTTTGGAGAGTTCCTTTCAGAGCACACCAGTACTTTAATTTCCTTCAGCACTTTCTGTCTAGCTAGAAACTTCCTCTCCCTTCTTCCTGCAGAATGGTGTTTTGTTTCATTGCTACTTTATGTCAAGAGAGGTTGAGCAGTAAGTCCGCCATTTCCTTTGTGGATTAGTGCTCCTTTTTAATTTTCTGCACGTGGCTGCTGGAGGATTATTTGGTGGCATTGTTTCTCTCCAGACACCAGCCAGAGGGAGGTGGCTGGGACACCAGCCTGAGGAAGCCCCCAGCCACACACTGTGCTGCTGCTAGAGCTGTGTTCCTAGTGTGGTGAGGTTGTGTGAATTCTGGCAGAAGTCGGACAGCAGAATTCCTAAGGGCCATAAAAAAGTGTCTGTTCCCTTGATTAAGTAATTGTAATAACACAGATACCTCACATTTGAGGCACTTTATAATTTCAAACTACTCGCTGTCTTTCATTTCACTTTCACAGTGGCTCCCTCTGGTTCTACAGGTGATCAAAGGACAGCTCTGAGAAGCTGAACAGCTTGCTCCAGGCTGTGAATTTGGAAGTGGAGGGGCCAAGTCTAGCAGATACAAGCTGGAATTCCTTACCTAGCCCACACCGACCCCCAACATGCACACACTTCATGTCTTATTAAGAAGTGGAGGCCATAGAAATTAAGTTTATAGGCAAAAGTAAATGGGCAGAACTGAAGGGTTGCTGTGAGTCTGTCCAGGAAAGTGAGGCTAGCAGTAACTGACTTACAGCCACTGAATCACTGAGCAGCACAGAAAGGGGGAATACTGCTTCTCACCCCAGAGCAGTTCTCAGTGTGGGAGCAAGGACTCGGGCTGGAGGGACCTCATCTTCCCTGTAAATTCCCTTTCACTGGGCCGTCTGCCCAGCAGAATCATGCCTTGTAGTCATGCCTTGCATGGGCCCCTGCAGTCTCCCCATGCCTTCGTCATGATTAGAAGCATGCAGTTGGAGCACTCAGGTGCTCTATGGTGGCTGGTCAACTGCACTGAATTAGCAGAGTCCCTTCAAACCTTTGCACAGTTTTGCTAGGTAAAATATGATCTTGCTTTTGTCTTGGAGCTTTTCCTCTTTGTGAAAGCCTCAAGTGATTGTGGTAAGACCAAAACCTGCTGGATCTAAGGACCGTGGACACTGATCTGGACAGGCAGGTGTAAAACAGAACTCTGTGGTGAGGAAAATGCTGGACCTGTATCTGCTACTCAGAGCCACGTGGTCTCACATAGGTTTAGGTTCTCAGTTCCCTGCTGTCTACATCATGACGCTGTATTCTTTGATGGCCCATCAGACATGGGGAGTTAGGAGAGAAAAGGTCCAAGGTGTCTTAGCCAGAGCAGCAACATTCTGAGTCACTTTGTACATGGACTTTCCAGATCAAGCTTGTTTTAAACCTGAAGTTTTACGTGTGTTTAAAAAAAAAAACTAATAAAAAAAATCTCTGATTTAGATGATGTCCCCATACATCAAGGCTGTTCTTTAGTAGTAGTAACACTCACACAGTGACTTATGCCCCCACGCGTCACTCTCACCGCTGACTGAGTAGCTGGAGTCTCAGATCTCAGCCCGTTGTCTTCTGGGGTCTTGTACCAGAAGAACAGGCTCTCTTGGAGTGCAGAGAAGAGACTCCACAGCCTTAGTAGGGAGCGAGCCCAAGGGGGGGGGGGAGAGGAGCCCCTACCTGTTGCCCTGTGCTACTCTAACCACCTCTAGCTACAGCCAATTACACAGTTGACCTCCAAGGTCAAGGTCATCCCTTGCTCCCAGCTGCTGCAGTTTGTGCCTAGCCGCTGGGAAGGGAGTGTGAACTTGAAAAGCAGTGTTCACTTCTTGAGGAAGACTTGAGTGCTTAGTTGCCAAGATAGTCCCAGCGATTAAAAAAGCAAGGGACTGAGGGCACAGGAGGAGAGAGAAGAAATCAGGAATTTCTGGTTTAAAAATGTACCCTTCTGGTGATCCGAGCAGTTAGATTTAATCTGTTTACATTGGATAGTAATAAAAGGAAATGGGGCCAGCTGCAGACCTCCTTACTGTGACAACAGTAACCTTTTATTATTCCATCAAACTCAGGAGGAAATAGCTTAAACATCTGCAGCGTTTGGACAGAATTCACAAACTCAGCAGTCCAGCCTGAATGCTACTGCTAAATGACTTAGTGTGTTCTTTAAGCTACAGAGCAGCTCTTTGGGGAGCTGCCTGGTGCAAAGGGAGACACCAGTGGGAGCTGAAATTCCAGCACCTACTCATTACACATGAGCACATCCGTAGAGGAGCTGTGGGCATGGGCATCCCTGTGAACAAGAAGTGAAAGAAACCTGGCCAGTCCCTCCTGTTATCTCCATCTTGTTTCCACTCCTGATAAAAATGCTTCAACAGGAACTAGGAACTGTGGTGGCAAGACCAATGACAGACAATACAGAGGTAGATCAGTCACCTAAGGTGGAGTTGGGACACCTGCCTATCTAGTAATGCAACTTTCTATGCGTTCGGTGGGGCCTTGCCATGCATAGCCCCTGTGAAGATCAGGCTTGATGACTTGTAAACCTAACACTAAAGAAGTTGAGGATTATGGTTCAAGGCCAGCCTGAGATCACAGAGTTCAAGACTAGGCTGGTATACGTGGCAACGCCCTGTCTCAAACCAAGCAAAATGAGCCAATAAGATGGCTCACTGAGTAAGGGTGCTTCTGCGCAAGCATGGAAAATTGAGTTCAATCCTCAGAACCTGTATAAAGATGTGTTGCGGGGGATCCATCAGAAAAGACTGCTCAGACAAGGGTTTAAGCCAATATTAAGTCTTTACTAGTCACCCGATAACTGCTTTGGATGTTAGGGGTCCTAGTATAGCCCTGAGTCTTTCTCGAGGTGAGCTTCTAAGCACAAACAAATAAACAAACAAACAAAACAAAAATCCACATCCTTGCTTGACATATTTCAGTTAACAAGAACAATTATCGAGAAGCAGAACTACAAAAGCCAAAAAGCAAGGATAGAACATTTAGAGATTTTCCCAGAACTATGGGCTTTGATGGGTAGGCCTTTGTTTTTGTTTGGCTGGTGGTGGTATTGGTGTGCTGAGTTAGGGCCTGAATGGAACTTCCATTATGGTGGCAGTTGTGCTAAGGTCTGGAGTTCTGAGGGTATGTTATAGATGGAAGGAGAGAACTGACTCCACAGAATTGTCCTCCGACTTCCATAAACTTTCCATGTATGTGTGTGTGTGTGTACACGTGCACATGTACACACACACACTAATAAATAATGATAATTATAAGCAAAACAAAGCACAAGATGAACAGTACAGGTTGGGGAGGTATCCTGGTCAGTAAAACACTCGCCTCTGTAAGTGTGAGGCCCTGAGTATGGCTCTCCAGAATCCATGTCAAAAGCTGGGAGTGGTGGGATGCGCCTATAATCCCAGTCATGTGAGACAAGACTGAAACAGACAGACCCCTGCTACCCACTGGCTGCCCAGCCTAGGCTGCTTGACAAAGTCCTGACCAAAACGTGGAAGGCACCAGAGGATGACTCCCTAGGTTAAACTCCTCTCCACACCTCTTCCCACCCAGTGCAGCACATCTGCATGAGCATGTACCTCCCCAACACACACAGAGAAAGGGGTAATAATACTCATGATTATGTTTAAATCACTGAACAGGTACCCAATCTACAGTCAGGATATCTAGTCCTACAAAGACAGATTGAATCACATTTTTCTGTATTAATAAATCACCTTATCAAAAAGAATATATTAAATAAACAGATAGAATGGGGTCTGGAGAGATGGCCCAGCATGTAAAATTCTTGTTTTACAAGAACAAAGACCTGAGTTCAGATCCCCAGCACCCATATAAAAGCGAGGCATGGTGTACACACCTTTAACTTCAGCACTGGGGGAGCAAAGACAGTGGATCCAGAGGCCTTACTGGCCACCCATTCTAGCTGAAATGACAAACTCAAGGTTCAGTGAGAGGTGACTCTCTCAGAAAGAAAGTGAGGTGAAGAGCAATAGAGGAAGACGTCTGAAATCAAGCTCTGCCACCCCCACACACAGGTGAACACACCCCCACACGCAGGTGAACATGCCCTCACACGCAGGTGAACACACCCCCACACGCAGGTGAACACACCCCACACAGGTGAACACACCCCCACACGCAGGTGAACACACCTCACACTCAGGTGAACATGCCCCCCCACAGGTGAACACACCTCCACACGCAGGTGAACACACCCCACACGCAGGTGAACACACATAGAACAAAGGGGTGAGAATCCCCACAGCCTTCATTCTTCGTGGCAGGTCGTCTGTGTTAAACTAGTGGAAGCTGAGAACAGCGCCTGGCACCCGAGCTCTGAGGGGAGCAGCTATGGACTGGATAAAACCCCCTGTTTTCCCAGAGGCCCTCTCATCGTCCCGCCCAGGGCCCAGCATTGGCAGTAGTTTAGTTTCCAGACGACAAGATACATAGGCACCTGGTATGGGTTTGCCTAAAGAAGGGCCAGAATTTTGAGCAGGTGTGGTGGCATGTTCCTGTAATTTCAGTATTTAGGAGGTAGAGGACTTCTGGAAAACCGTGAGACTGTCTTAGAGAACAAAACCAGAAGGGCAGTTTCTAGAAATCTGACCTCAAATTTTAAAACATGAAACTCATGGAAGGTGAAAGAAAGATGAAATTATAGGATATATGTAAAGTTGACCTTTTTTCTCCTTTTTTTTCTTTCTGTAGCCTTGGCTAGCTCAGAACTCAATAGATATCCCCCTGCATCTACCTCCCAAATGCTGGGATTAAAGGCATGAGCCATCACACCCAACAACATTTAATTTTTGTAGAAAATTACTCATTTTTAAATGTTTGGGGGTTTTATTTTTTATTTTTTGTTTTTGAGACGGACTCTCTCTGTGTAGCCCTGACTGGCTGAGAGCTTGCTCTGTAGACCAGGATAGCCTTGAACTCACAGAGATTCGCCTGGGATTAAAGCAACTACATCAGCTAAAAGACGATTTTAACCCATTACAGTGGTTTGTAAGGGACCAGATGCTAAAAAGAAGGTGGATGTATTTTTGTATATCACTGGGTGGCAGCTTTCCCAGTATTTGACAGTTATTTTTAGTCTTAATATTTTTTATTCTGTTTTTATTTATTTAGAGTGGAGGGAAGGGAGCACACACCTTGATGCTTGTCTGGAGGTCAGAGGACAGCTTGTGACAGTTGGTTCTCTTCTTCCACTGTGTGGGTTCTGTGGGTTCTTGTAGACCAGGCTGGCCTCGAGCTAAGAGATCCACCTGCCTTTGCCTCCCGAGTGCTGGGAATAGAGGCGTGTGCCACCAGCACCTGGCTTTGTTTTTGTTTTTGTTTTTTTAATATACCAATGGAGTCATATCTCTTACCCCTCCCACCTTTCTGGAATGATATCTAGTTACGGAGCCCAGGCAGACCTGAGACTCTAGCTCTGGTGCTCTGGAGGGCTGAGATAGCAGGAGCACAGCACAGTGCCCGCTCAGGCTGCTGTGCAGTGTCGTCCCTCATTAAGCCAGTTAATGGAGTGTGGCGGTAGAGCGCTGGCTGGTGTGCGGCACCTTGGGTTTGATCTCTGTAGAAAGGAGGAAAGGGCCTAAGAGTTCTGATCAGCAAGGATGTTGCAGGCATGGCTTATGTTAAATTTGAACTTCATGTCTTTGGCTCAGAGTCCTTTTGCTGACATTTGGCAGTAGACAGAGTAACACTTTTTTAAGGAGTAGAAAGTAACAGGGAGATTCTTATTTTTTAGATACTTGGAAATAAATTGGGAAGAAAATATAGCTTTTAATCATCTGCTGCCTAGTAACCTGTTCGCCAGTGGTTTTCAAGTATCAGTGTCCCCACCATAGTCTCCAGCCATGCTTTTCTAGACAAGATGCCCCCAAGCCACAGCATTGTAAGTCCAGGGAGCTCTGCAGGAGGAGCCGGTCTGACCGTGTGCCTTGGGGTTGCTGGTAGAGGAGCTAAGCACCTCGCTTTCCTGGACTGTGTAGTAGTAGCAGGAACACCACCATGAAGGAAAGATGAGAAGGTGTCTAGCAACAAGCAGAGACTACCAATACAAAATTCAGCCCGGACTTAATATTTGAGAACATCATGATGATGAGCTTCCAAATCAAAGATGCATGTAATATCAGAGTAGCAGAAAATCTTCCGGCACTCACAGCAAGTCAGAGATCTGGACAAGAGCTGCGCTGGCTCCCTGGATGGTCATGGCATGATGCAGCCCTATGTCCACAGCTCCTATGAGCTAGGAATGAACTCTGATGTTTTCTTTGAAATTGCTTAAAATCTTGCAGAGGTTGCTCAAACATGGGGTTCATGTTCATTCATATTTTTTCCTCCTCTCTTTCCAGCCAAAGAAGCCGAAAGCCCCAGACAATCCATTTCATGGCATTGTTTCCAAGTGTTTTGAGCCTCATCTCTACGTGTACATTGAGTCCCAGGACAAGTGAGTGACAAGCATTCTGCTGTTTTCTGTTTGTGTTTCTAGCCACTGATCTGTTGGGTCCTACACGAGGACAGAGCTCATTAAGAATATTGTATCTTCTGCTTGTAACTGTTTATTTTGCCTATAACTTGTTCCTTTGAGACAAGACATGTAGCCTTGAATAACTCATAGAGATATGCCTGCCTCTGCCTCCCAACTGCTGAGACTAAAGGTATATGCCACTACACTGGCATATTTTCCTCATCAATCTAAGCTGCTTGAGCTTGCTGTATAAGCCTCCATGTGGATCTGAACACCTCTCACCGCCACCCCCATCTGGGTGCTAAGCTTTTGAGCACTGAGTGTCAGGCACCCAGACATTGTAAGAAAGTCTAGTCCCTGAAGTATATACTTTCAGTTATAATTTGGCTTTTCATTGTGAGGTAATTTTGGCTGTCAAAAAAGCTTTAAAAAAAAAAAAACACAAAAATTTTCCAGTAACCTTCCCCAAGCCCATGGACATCATAATGTAAACATAATTATCAAAATCAGAAAGTAAGATTGATCATTTTTCTGGTCCAGGACCCAATAATTGCACAATTAGCTGTGCTCTCTGGAGTCTCCTTTAATCCTGCTTCCTTATTTTCTCTTAGTCTTTCTGACCTAAAGGGTTGATCGGATGTTTCAGATGCCTTGTGAGATGCCACCAGTTTCCATTTGCCTGATGCTGCCTCCCACATGCCCTCTTTTGAAACAGTTTCTATGTTGCCCAGGCTGCAACTGGGATCAAGCAAGCAATCCTCCCACCTCAGCTCTCTGACTACTGGAAATACACACACCCTATCCATTAGTGTATTGTCTTTCTGAAACCCACGTTATGAGCTAGCGTCATAGCACACATTATAATCCATCACTTAGGTGGTGAAGGTAGGACAGTTTCAAGTTCAGAGCCAGCCTGAGCTGTGATGTGACCATGTCCCCAAACAACAAAATCAAAAAAACATCCTTCTCGATGTCGGTCAGGGGCTGGTGCAGACTCTGTTGGCTAAGGTGAAGCCTGCCAACCTTCCTAAGTACTGGGATTAAAGGTATGCACCTTCACCTCTCAGCTGGTATTCTACTCTAAATAAAAAGGTTTTACTTCTTTTTTTTTCTTCCCTAAGGCAGGGCCTCCCTGGCCTCTGCCTCTTGTCTCCCGAGTGCTGGGATAAAAGGAGCATAAGGAGTATGCCACCATGCAGGCAAACGCTTTTATCCTGATTTTATATGTCATAAATTTTATATTTTATATATATAAATTTTATATATGTCATAAATTTTATGTGTGGGGGGAGAGAGAGAATATATAAACATGGCCACAAATTTTGATTTTATTCAATGGATTATCTCCCACCCATTTTTTTTATATTAGAATTAATTTATACCTTTAGAAAGATTATGTAGATTTCCCATATTTCATACCCTACACGCTCTTTAATATTAACGTTTTACATAGCCATAGCAAAGTTATCAAAACTAGCATGTGATTTGTATGATGGCAGGTTCTTATGATCCATCACTCAGGTGCTGAGACAGGAGGATCATAAGTTCCAGGCAGCCTGGGCTACATGCAAAGTCCTGTCTCAAAACCTAAACAACAAAGTCTGGAAGTTAAAAATTGATACACTACTATTACCAGTGTCCAGGCCTTACTGGGCTCCTGCCAGTTTTCCCACTATGGCCCTTTTTCTCTCTAGGATTTGTTGTTTTAATGCTCAGGTTACCTGTGATAGGACCAGTGTGAGCCTCTTGAGCTGGCCCTTCATCTTTTTATGTGCCACTATCATTTCCTGAGCATGCCCCTTTCTTTCTAGCACAGTAAAATGCACCAGGCTTATCTTTTTTTTTTTTTTTTGTTTCTCAAAACAGGGTTTCTCTGTGGTTTTGGAGCCCGTCCTGGAACTAGCTCTTGTAGACCAGGCTGGTCTCGAACTCACAAAGATCCGCCTGCCTCTGCCTCCCAAGTGCTGGGATTAAAGGCATGCGCCACCACCGCCCGGCTCACCAGGCTTATCTTGTGTTCCAAGTCCAGCCCTAGAGTTAATGCTTGCAGCCAGGCTCCCCATTTCCTCTGTATGGAGCTACTGCAGACACCAAACTCTAGAGTGACTGAGCTGAGTGCTGCTGGTGCCATTGCTCACAGGCACTCATCCGAGACAACTAGGAAACGTGTGTCTGCATGAACATTTATGCATCCACACACCACTGTACACTAAAGCCTGTGTTCATGCCAACAGCTCCATTCTAACCTAACCCCACAGGAGTTCCCATGCTGATGGCTGCTTCAATAACACAATAGTGAAAATATGCTTGGCTCCTGGCATCCTTGCTACATTTACTAGCGTCCTCCATTTCTTCATCTATGGCCCATTTCTGTTTCCTTCCAAGCCACTGCTCACCCCAGAGCCAAGTCCATAGCTCCAGGCCAATAGAAGTGAAAGGGTGCTTGTTAGTGGGTGCAGCCCTGAGAGCGCATGTGCTGAATCTGTGGGGCTCCTGGGCCACCTCCCCCCAGTGCTACTGCTAAGTTGCTTTTCAGTCTGACTTCCTATTTCTGATGCTCACTGCAGATCCATCAGCAGTACCATGCTAAGCCCAGTCTGCCATGAATGATTGTTTCTCCCCCATTGGCTTAATCCTTCCCACACTGATGCCACCCTGCAATATGCTTTACTCCTCGTGCGTTTTTAACTTAATCAGCAGAACTTCCAACAGTGTTCTCAACGTGAAGCCTCAAAAGCTCACCCAGTTCTTGGGGACAAAGCTCAAGCTGCAGAGAAGAGGCAAGAAGAAACAACATATCCATGATGCTTCTCTCAGCTAGGGAGTCAGGAATAGCAGTATGGCAAGTATCTAGATGTTTAGCGCTCCAGGGACCAGAGGTCAAAGTGTGAGGTAGTGGAACACCAGGATTCAAGTCAGCACCAATAAATCTATGACCTTTGGCAAAGGCACTAACCTTGGTTTCTTCACCTTTAAAACAATGATAATAACATCTCTGATTTAAAGCTTTTGGGAGGAATAAATGAGATTGTATTTATAACACATTTTATAAGGAGAAAAAGACCAAAATGAAAAGAGGACAAAAAGTGTGTGTTGTGCAGCATTATAGATACGAGGGCTGGAGAGTTGGCTCAGCAGTTATGTATTGGCTACACTCACATGGGGGCTTACCTCTGTCACAATAATCCCAGGGGTCCAGCACCCTCTTCTGGCCTTTTCAGGTACTGCATGCACATGCTGCACAGACATATATGCAGGCACTCATTCACATAAAATGAATAAAATCTCAAAAGAAGATAAATCTCTGAGGGGATTGCAGCGAGAATTTAGAGGAATGTTGCTGCCACACTCAAGGTTAGACATTTTTCTTTGCATCTCCATCCTCAGCCAAGTTCTTTCTCTCCCTCACATCTTCTCCCTCACGTGTTGTCTGTATTCCTTTGTTTATGGCTTCTGGGGAGACTCTCATGTAGCCCAGGCTGGCCTCACCTTGTGTAGCCGAGAATGACCTCCCAGTCCTTCTGATTCTGTGTCTCACCTCTGACTGCGTACTCTTTTTCTCTCCCTGAACCTGGTGCAGTCTTTCTCTGCAGCAGACTTTCTCTGCAGCCTGCTCTGACAGCATTTTCTCACTGTCTTGAAATATGAATATTCTAAGCATTCAGGGATTCTCAGTTCTCCACAGCCTCCTGATCAGAACTTGATCATTTGTAAACTCTTACTTGATTGTACTTACTTTGGGGTTAAAAAAAGATTCCCTTGTGGTTCCAAGTGTATAAATCATTGTGCAACAAATCCGTTTCTCCATTAATTCTGCACGAAGATCTTGCCAAAATGTCTGGAAGCAGTGATAACCTTTTTGAAGTTAAATTTACAGCCCTCGAGCCTTGCATACAGTGAGTGTGTGGTTAGTATTTGGTTGGGCAGTGACCCCACAGGTTCCCACTGGGGCACCGTCTGCTCCTCCTCTGCGAAGCTCACTATCTCGTGTCTTACAACGCATGGGTGCACGTGATGCAGAGGATGGAGAAGAGAGCACAGGGAAGCGTCCTCACCAGGCTCCTTTCTCGTCTGCAATGGAGAACAATGTCAAAAGTAACTTGGTAGAGCCTTAGAGGGTTTTTTGTGAACAATTTCTCTATGCTGTGTGGTCATAATCAACTGTGATCTTACTATCAGGTTGACTCTGAAATAGGAAGTGGGTGTGGATAGTGATGGTGCTAAGGGACGATGAGCAGTTAATACATCACTGCAGAATCCCACCTGCTGCAGTCGGCAGCGTCTGTGTGCAGATTAGACTCCTCAGCAGACTCTAGTGCATTCTTACCCACATTTTACCTCCTCCTCCATTGCCCCAGTCCCTGTCCATCTCTGCTTCTTCCCCACTTTGTTCCCATCTCTAGGAACAGAAGCGGAGGATGATCAACTAAGCATGCATTGAGTACTGACATGAGGGTTAGCCTGACACACCAGCCTGCACAGAAGGCTGAGGGCGCATGAACAAATACACCCCCAAAGGGAGACCTAGTAGTGGACACAGAGGATGAGGCCTTCCTGCTATAATGCTGTAGCTGTCTCTACACCAGGTGCCTGGAGTACTGTCCCCAGCACATCACACACCATGATGAAGTGTTAACTCAAGTCACACATACATGTCATTCCAGCCCTGGGGAGACTGAGGCAAGGTGTTCACAAGTTTCAACTCTACCTGGAAAAAAAAATAGTAAGACCCAGTTGTATAGCATACACTATAATCCAACACTCAGGAGGCTAATACAAAAAGAAAGTCATAAGTTCAAAGACAGCCTGGGCTATAGAGTAGACCCCTTCTCAAAATAGGTAGACAAACCAAAAACAAATCATGTAGCAGTGAGTGGCTGGTGATGACAGTTCCAGTTGAGGGAGCAGGTATTAGTTTGAGTTGTGCAGTGAAGCCTGGGACTAGGAATCAAGAGGAAGGTGCTTTGGCCAGGAGGTAACAGGTAAAGGCCAAAAAAAGGGGGCCACAGAGTGACTGGCCTAGGCACCTGGCTGGCACAGAGGCCTGCCCTGCAGGAGAGTTGTGAAGGTCCATGGGAAAGTAGGGCAAGAAGAGTTTGTGCGGAGTGGGGGAGGTGGCCAGGACTTCCCAAGGTCAACAAAAGAGGCCCTTCTTACCATAGGCAGAGACCTCGCCTGGGTGAAGCAGCCACATCTGGATGTCATAAACTTCGACTAACAAAAGCATTGGAGTAAATGTCAATTGTTTCCTACCCCTGCTAATCAATGCTGTGTGTGGTTCTTGCCTTTTTCTTCTTATTGTATAAATATAGTTTTAAAACACAGCTGGATTCTTATAGCCTTAGCCAGCAAGTTAACAAGGTGCTGCATGTCAAGAATGGGGCCTCCCATTGTCCACACAGCACAGCTGTGCAGACGACAGTGGTTATGGCCCTGCTAGATTCCAGTTCCCGGTGACTCAGGGTGACTGGGGCAAACTGAGGGATGTTTGCCTGGGAAAGTGGAGACAGACCACAGCCGCCATCTCCACCATGACCAGGCCTAGAGCTGTTCCCAGCCACTCTTGTTCCAAGATATTTTTGCATCTCTGATTCTGAAAGTTATAAGAAAAAACCTGTTCTTCTTAAGGAAGGCATTTGGTCTTTAAACAACATCTTTATTCAGGCATTTGTCCTTGGACACATTTAGGTTCACAAACTCACTAAAGTTATTAGAATTTATGAGATTATCAAGGTTTCTCTCTATATGATAAACATATGAAGTATTAGCCTTTATATCAATAATCGTGTAAAGTATGAAAGGAAATAACATTTAAAAAAATAAATAAGTTCTATGAAACAGCCCGATAAATGCTAAGTTTCTCACATAGGAAGGATTCTTTCTCAAAAGACTAAAAACAAGCTCTGAGTTAGACCACGCTTTTCTTCTCACTTTTCTTGCTATTGTGAGAAGATATTTAACAGAAACACCCTAGGAAGGAAGGACTTGTTTGGACTCAAGGATTCTGGGACTTCCAACCATCATGGCAGGCAATGTCCACATCTTTGCTGCCATCAGAACCTTTGTAGAGGCTGGTGAAAAGCATGACGCTTGGGTCCAGGCTGCTGGGGTTTGCATCCTGGTTCCCATGCTTGTCCTGGACAAGGTGCTTAACTTTTCTGCACCTGGCTTTTGGAGAAGGGGGAATATAAAATTGGTGCCTCTGAAGGTTACTGTTGGAAACTTGATTATTTGATATTAACATGACATGATTGATTATACAGCACAGCCATGACTGCTGGGCCACCACAGTGTTTAGGAAGTGGTCACCGTCGTTAGTGTTTAGGGCTGTCGTGTGGGAAAGGCTGCTGGTGCTCAGCATTCTGGGGTGGACAGTGTCAGGTGTCGATTTTCTCACCTAGAGGAGCAGGAGTGCTCTGTCTCTCAGGGGACCTGGGGTCAGACATGCTGATGAGATAGATGCCTTGGAACAAAGCAGGGTACAAATGTCAGACGTTATTGCTGCCATTTCTTTTAAGCAGGGAGGTGAGTAGCGACATGGATAAAATGCACCCACTTGTAAGTGTGAGTAGCACTTGTGGGAAGTGCTTATGTCCACTGCAGACAGCACCCCTGCCTGATCTCTCCGTGTGAAACAGCATTTCTGCTCTTCCAGAAACCTCAGCGAGCTGATAGACCGGTTTGTAACAGACTTCAAAGCCCAGGGTCCACCGAAACCGAACACTGACGAAGGGGGTGCTGTACTCCCCAGCTGTGCTGACCTCTTTGTCTACTACAAGAAGTGCATGGTGCAGTGCTCACAGCTCAGCACAGGCGAGCCCATGATCGCCCTGACTACCATATTCCAGAAGTACCTCCGAGAATACGCCTGGAAAATCCTCTCTGGCAATCTGCCTAAGTGAGTCCTTTTCCCCTCACTCTCAGCAGGCAAGCGAGACTCTAACATCCCTAAATATGGGAATCTTTAAGGAAAGCCACCCTGGGCTTGTTTACTGAGCCACTAAGAATGTCGAGGAGGAAAACACTCCTTCTGGGCTCCCAGGGGCCTGACGCACTGCTGTCTTCTTTAATGACAGTCCACAGCTGACCATGACTGTCAGCAGGCGTGTTCCCTGTCCACCAGTGAAGGTCACAGTGCATCACTGAGTTGGGCCTATTATATGCATGAACACATGCACATGGGCTCAACACAGAAAGAATATTACTCAATAGAGAGGAGTGTCGCTCTAGCCTGCTCAGTGTGTCCATGCCTTGAGTTCCAGATGGACAAGCCCCCCCCCATTATCTCCACAGCCTCTGATGCTGTGTGCAGTCTTATGTTTAAAAATAGGGATGGATTGGGGCTGAGGAGAAGGCTGAGTGGGTAAAGTGTCTCCTTCACAAGCATGAGGACCCGAGTTCAGATCCCCAGGACGCACATGAAAGCTGGATTTTACAACACCCACTTGTAATCATTAAACTAGGAGTCCAGGGCCTCAACGGCAGCAGGTCAGGCCAACTCTGGCGAGCTCCAAGTTTAATGAGAGGTCGTATCCCAAAACGAGACACAGAAAGATAGAGGAGTACACCCACTGTCCACCTTTGCTCCCAGCCGGTGTGCACGGACACACGTGTGTACTGTCTGACTGTCTTCCTCTGCTTGTTCACATATGAGCTGCTCCACATGTACACGTCTCACCTGAGAAAGATGGGTGGGAAGCAGCTTTCGTGCTGCAGATGCCCCCCCACCCCTGATAGCTGCACTCAGAGAATCTCAACAAGGCACTGGGCTGAACAGCGTCCTTGGTGAGAATGGGGCCATCCCAGGTGAGGACTGCTCACCACCGCCTTTCTCTTGGCGTGTCTCTTCCTGTTCCTGTGGTGAGAGGGTCTTAACAGATGACAGTCAAGGTAAGGGCTGGAGCAGAGGGGCCCATTGTATGTCGATTCATTTGTACTGTAGCCAGCCTTTCCTCCCCTTTCTTCTTTGCCATAAAATACACAGCTTCAGGAAGTGAATTAGCAGCTGCAGCCTGACTAGTTCCTGTCCTTTTCCTCAGGACCAACAGCAGCAGTGGGGGGCTGACCATCAGCAGCCTCCTCAAAGAGAAGGAGGGCTCCGAAGTGGCCAGGTTCACTCTGGAGGAGCTCTGCCTCATCTGCAGCATCCTCAGCACAGCCGAGTACTGTCTGGCCACCACCCAGCAGGTGAGCCCCCAGCTGAGCAGGCTGCCTTCCTGGAGCTCTCAGCTGGACCTGGAACTGGTGGAGAGCGCCACTAAGCTCCACTGAATTGACCTGCAGCAGGCCGGTTGACCTCACAGGAAGACAATCACCATGTAGTCAGAGATGCCCCGGCAGCCATCTAGCAGGAGAAGTATGGCCAGCCCACACCCTCAAGTTATGTAAGCCACCAGCCAGGCAGGACCTCTTAAAAGTAGGTCAGTAGTGCAGTGTCCATAATGAGAAGAGAGCAATAAACTCCTTTGGTGGGTGAGTTTCCCAGTGGCTCCATTCTTAGCGTGTTAATAAGCAAAGTCCTTCAGGATTTTATGTGTCTCCTGACATTTTCTAGTGTTCTCTGTCCACCGTAACAACCAATGTTTGAGATGTAGCCTGTGAAGCAGAAAGGGTGGGGCCTCTGCTGGAGCCGCTGGAGGCTGTTTACCAGCTTGCAGGAGGAGGAGCAACTGGCCACTCAGCCTGCCATAGGATTAGAGACTCTTTTTTCCCCCATTTGACCAGGGGTCCCCCTGAGGCTAAGAGCAAGAAAGTGACCATGGAGAGAGATTCTTGCTCTTCCTGATGTTGATGCTTATTTCCTAAGCATTTAAGAAGTCAGTCACAAGGGACAGTTCAGACATGACAGCTTGGACCCCTATGTGCCAGGGTGTGAACACAGGAAGTGTCCAGCTGCTTCCTTGAGAGTCAGAAAACTGGGCCCAGATGCCAAGACCAAGGCTGTAGTAGCACGCTCTGCTTTGGGGCATGGTCACATATACATACTTGAGGACCACTTTGGCCTTGGAGCCAGAAGTACATGCATGCACACGCACGAACACACACACACACACACACACACACACACACACACCTCATCCCGAACATAGGCATTTAAAGTGTGTGAGAAAGACATATAATGTTTCTGTGATTGAGACAAGGTCTCAGTGTGTAGACCAGGCTGGTCTAGAACTCAGAGAGACCCATCTGCCTTTGCTTCCCAGTGCTGGGATTAAAGGCATGTGCCACCATGCCAGACTTTTAATACAGAATCTTAAAAGTAAAGTGACCAAAGTAGCATAAAACAAAACACGGCACTTAGGACTCCTTTAAAACCTGGCCCACATTCTCAGCTGTGTCTGTCTCACTTTCTTCTTAAGCACTTTGCTTAAAATACGTAATAAATTCTCTTCATAAGCATACACACACCAAACCGGCAGCTTGAGTTATTTTATAAACATAGTTTTGTATGCAGTTAACTTAGTTCACTTGTACATCCTCTTGTTAGTGTTAGTGTCTTAGCATTCTCCTGTTACTAAACTATTTTTATTATTATTACTTATGGTTATATAATATTCCATTAAAGGATTAGTAGATATTTAATAATAGCCCTGGTATTTATTTATACTGCTTTAAAGTTTTGCTGCTTTAAATAATCTTACAAAATCATCCTTCTGAATATAGCATCTTACAAGTTTTATATTGTGTTTCTAGAACAGATTCTTAGGTATTTTAGAAGTATGAATAAATCAAAGAACATTTTGATGACTTGTATAGCCATTTTTTTAATTTAATGAAAATCATCTTACTGATTATAAAAGCATATGCATTCTTAGTCACCTATGAGATGTCTGAATGCCGTGTTCCTTTAGAAGAAGCAGAGATTCCTGGAGAAGTGCTTAGTTCCAGGGTGAGGGGGTAGGGTGGCTAGGGATGCAACACAGTTGGTCCAGGCCTTGCCTAGCGTGTGTGCAGCCCTGGCTTTCATCCCTCGCTCCACATAAACTGGGTGTGGTGGTGCACACTTGAATTGAAATCCCCGTCTTTGGGAGTGGAAGAGGAGACTCGGAAGTTCAGGGTCTCCCTGAGCTTCAAGCGCACTTCACTAGACACTTCCCATAGCAGGCGCTTCCACGGGTCACGGCATAGTGAGGACAGGCGTCTGTCTCTCAGGAGACTCAGACTGATGGAAAGCAGAAAGCAAGCAGGCAAGCCAGGGTTTCACTGCCATTTTGTGTTAAGTGGGGGAGAAGAAGAAGCAGATGCCAAGAGAGGAGTTGGAAGGGCAAGGAAATGGGAGTCTGGTCAGGAGGATGAGCAGGGGCATTTTAGAGGGAGGACGTATGGAGTGTGAAGGCCCTGAGAGACAAAGACCCTGAAACTGCAAATGCCATAGGCAAGGCAGGAGTAGCAAAATGAAACCAGAAAGGTAGACAAGACCCATGTCGTGCTTAAAGTTAGCATTTATCTGTAATGAAATGGTAGGGCCACTGGAGCATGCCGTGCTGTCTCGTCCTCCCTCACCGGTGTCTGTGTAGACTGCTCCCTGGTTTCCAGTAATAAAAACCCCTTCTGGATAGAACTTTACAGATACAGGATCTGACCCTTTGAGTTCTTTGAATGGCCCCTCACCCCTTTAAACAGCCTGGCACAAAGCAGGTTCCGTAAGTGGTGGTGGAATTAATGCTGCCTAGAGTCCTTGCATAGCTCTGCAAGGACTCATGATTATTCTCATGATTTCAAAAAAATACATTCCTAAATGAAATTACCAGAAGCAGTTTATAAATTGCCTTCTAAAAAGGTCACCCTCATTTGCACACATTTTAAGAATAATTTTGTTTTTAAGTTTTTTAATACGTGTGTGTGTGCATGCCTATGTGATTTATGTGCACTACATTTGTCCAGTGCCCATGAAGGTCAGAAGAGGGTGATGGATTCCCTTAAGCCATAGTTACAGGTTGTGGTGAGCCACCGTGCAGGTGCAGGGAACTGAACCATCTGTCCGGTCCTCTACGAGCACCTACATTTTAATGTAGCGCATTCATCTTAGACTGAGTGTGATTGATTTATCAATTCCCAGGGCATGTTTAGGTCCTTCCAGACCCTGGCCAATTGTCTTTTTCTCCAAGACTCAGGAGTATGTCAGTGATCCTACCCTGTGCCCTAAGCTGACCAAGGTGAAGCTGTATTTCCAATCCACCGCTTGAGACATCTGGGACCTTGGCAAGCTAGTGACCACAGAAACACTTGGCAAAGGTTCGCTGATTTTACTGTCACTCAGAGTAGAAGTTCCTGACACTAGTGAGTGAGACTAAGGCTCATGGGGCACTCAGGGAGACCATACTTGTTAGTTCTCACAGACACAACAAAGGCAGAAAAGGTGATGGCAGTCTGGCACTATGGGGAGGAGCCCAGTGCTCCTGCCTGGGAGGTCATGAGCAGAGGCTTCCTGCATGCTAGCGGCCGGCCGGGAAGCAGTGCTTTCCTGTAACTTTGAAAAGCCCTCACTCACCCAGCTTCCGAGATCTAGACTCCATCTCATGAAGGCGTCACAGCCTCCAGAATAGCACCACCACTAGGAGCGAACACTCCAAGCATGAGCCTGTGGAGGACGAACCTCATGATCTATTGCTATGTGGTTAGAAGTAAGCCCAGTGTACTGCCTAAGGGGCTGGGTCCTCGGAAGCTGATTTTGGCTCTACCACCTGCTGGGAGGGCTACTGCAGTCCTCGTCTGTGAAGTGAGGGTGGTGGGACTTCCCTCACACCCTGATGAGAAGGAAATGTGTCTCATGTTGTGTCTGGACCTGTCTGGCTCATCCCCTTTGAGCCTCAGTTAGTGTATGGAACACCTTTGTATAATCATTAAACATGCTTCTGCTTTATCGCTTTCCTAACAGCTAGAAGAAAAACTCAAAGAAAAAGTGGATGTGAGTCTGACTGAACGAATTAATCTCACTGGAGAAATGGACACATTCAGCACGTACGTACCTTCCAGGAGCTTACTCCAGGCCAACCTTCCTTTTCCAAAGGCGGTGTGTGCTTTAGTCCCTACAGAATCTAAGCGTTCCCCAGGCATTCTCTACCAGCCGTGAGGAGCAGTACCCTGATCTCCCTCCTCTTCCTCCTCCTCATTCTACTTAAATAAGTTTTTAACACAGATGCTTTTGGAGGAGACCTTGAAGATACTCTGGGGTTAGCAATTATGGGAGTAGCCATGGAAGTTTGGGTTTTAACTGGATAAGACACACACAAATAAGAACAGGACAAAAAGAGCCAGTTCTTCATTGTCAGTGATTAAAACCCAAGATTTCATAAAGAAATGACAAATTTCAGTTTTGCACACAAGCCAAAAGCACCTGAAGAGGCCCATAGCCACCATCCCGTCCCTTTCTGGAGCAGTGACCGCAGCGTCTCTTTCTTTGCAGTGTCATCTCCAGCAGCATCCAGTTGTTGGTTCAGGATCTGGATGCAGCCTGCGACCCTGCCCTGATTGCCATGAGCAAGGTGAGGTCGTAGGAGCTGGCGTCCTACCAGAGTGACGATGTGCCATTCCTTATGTGTTTCCGACCCTGCTTAGTGTCAGCTGAGGGGATGGGGAGACCTCCCAGAGTTCCCGCTAGGCACCTGGGGCTGTTGCTGACCCTTCTGAGGGGTGGGGATGGGGTGAGTCTGAAGGGGATGGGTTCTTGGGTCAGCATCTAGCTCCTGCTGAAACCTGTCCGTACTCTTGCTGGATAAGCAGTTTGCTGAGCTCTGCAGTGCTGACTCTTGACTCTTTGCTTCATCCTGCCCACTGAGAGGTTCTGGCTTTTCCTGAGCTTTGGCGATTAGATTAATTTGATCACATAGTGGGCTCTGGTTTTAATGTACCCTCAGACCTATGGCCCTTTCATGCTCACCACGTACTGCTTTTTGGGGTTTTGTTTGCCCGTCTTTTCTTCCCCAGAGTGTAGATTCCTGAGGAACGTGATGGCTCTGTGTATAACCTCAGGATTTAGAAGGCTGAGGCAAGAGGATTTCAAGTTCAAGGCCTGCCTGTACTACACAGGAAGACCCTGTCTCAACAAAGAACAAGAGTATCCCCTACATGTCTAGACCATATTGGAGCCTTTATGTTTATTGATTAAATAGAAAGTAGGCAGTTCTTTGTTGACTTTTAAGCCCAGCAAGCCTTGTAGAGCAAGGGATAACAAACCATAGCCTGCAGCCAAATGTGGCCCACCACTTGTTCCTGCAAGTCTTAGTGGAACATAGCCATGTTTGTCCCCTTATGCACCCTCTATGGCTGTCTCTGTGCTGTGACTAGAAATTAGTGGTTAGAAAGAGACCTTATAGCCCACAAGGCAAAAACACTGACTAGCTGACCCTGTTCAGAAAAAGCTTGCCAACATTTATCTAGTCATGGGCTCCTGGAAGACTCACTTGTCTGGGGAAAACTAGGCAGGATTTATGACAGAGGGCAGTGGGAGGAACCTTGACACTGGGGTCAGACAGCCCTGCATTCTCTGGTTTCTTCTGAGAGCACTGCACACATGACTTAGCCTGTGCAGGCCCGTCTCCTCTATGTGAAATGCATCTGGCTGGCTGCCTCCCAGAGCTGTGAGACTGGACAGCAATGAGTGCCTGGTGGTGCCAGTCAAGTGCTCAGAAAGCCTTGGTTCCTCCCTCTTGACAAGAGGAATGCCGTGCCTCAGGAAGCAGACATTTGGTCTGAGTTTGGTTTTATAGTAGATTATAACTATTTAACAAAGCTAGGATTAAAACCAAAACTTTGGCTTTAGGGTTTAAGGAGTGAAGTAGGAAGTTATGAAGCAGCTGATGATCCAAAGCTCCTGTTCCCAAGGCCAGTCCTGTGCCCAGCCGGGATCCCCAGCCACACACTGTAAGCAGGCAGCTGGAGGCTAGGCTGTTCTCTTAAAGAAGCAGGCTGTGAGGATTCGTTTCCTGGGCTCTGGCTAGTCCCTCACTGCTGGCAAACACTCTACGCATCCTGAGTTTGATCCGTTCCAGCTGCCATCTCCTGAACTGCCACACACCGCAGCCTGGAACGCAGCTGCCAAAAGATTTTCACACTGACCAAAGGAAGAGTGGAATCTTTTTTTTTTTTCCTCAGTAAAATAACACATGGAATGGGTTTAACACTGCAGGTGTTGCTTATATGAACTGTCAGTTCATTAGGCAGACTGCCCTCAAGTTCCCCTTCCTCACCATCCATTTCTCCCTAGATGCACACCAGCAAATATAGCCAGACCTCCAGAATCTTGTGTTTATATCATAGGAAAATCCTAGGTTTGGGAGCATAGCAGTTGGAAGGCCATTCCTTTTTGTCAGAGTCTTCTGGAGTTCTAGTAAAATGAGATCCATGTGATTAAACATGGCAGTGGTCGCGGGCTACCTCGGTATGCACTCCTGTTTCATGGAGTTTCTTCTAGAATTTCTCCAAACCTTTGTGATGGTGATTATTTCTCCCTCTGATTCCATCATTGTTTGCTGCTGGCTGACTAGTCCAGCTTGGACTCTGCCTAGCACAAGTCTGGGAAAGGCCTAGGCATTGTCTCCAGGTGTTTCATCTGGTGGGCGGAGGCAGGAGATGTGGGCAGAGTGTGCAGAGAACTGTGGTGGGGGTGAGAGGAGAAAGGCAGAATCCAGCAGTCAGCATGAGAAACCGACGGGGGATGTGACCTGGTCCGGTTCTCCTGAGGGAGTGTGTGATGAGGAGGCTGTTCCCAACAGGACTGCAGTGGGAAGCAAAGCTTCTTAAGTTAGGAAAGTCGTTTTTGTCAAAAATTACCAATCCCACTCACTGCCCTACGAAGTTGCAGAATACTCTGGATTCAAGCAAGGCTGTTTTCAAGTTTATGCTGTGTGGGAGAAAACTCAAAATAACAGTCGAATAAATAGATGTATTTCATAAATAGTGAGGACAGTGTGGAGTGGGCTTCCGGTAGCGGAACCCAGGGCTGGCTCTGAGGAGAGGGACTGAAGCTCCTTGACAAGGTGGCTGGAGCCCAGCAGCTCCATTGTCCTGGGAGGCCAAAGCAAGCTCTAGATCCTCCTTAGTTGCCATATTTCCTGTCAGTACCTCGGATCTCTTGACTGCACAGTTGGTACTGCTCCTGTGCAAACACCGTGCACCCCAGGTCCCAGCCGGTCCCACTAGCCTGAGTGTGCTCTGCCTTCTGGTGGTTTCCTTGCCCTCCCTCCCTCTGACCTTTTTGTGTAGAATTCTCTTCCCATCGTGGTCTATCAAAAAAAAAAAAAAGTGCGACCTTTTTAAGAGCGAGCTTGATTATCTGTCCCCCTTGTAAAAGTTACAGTGTAATTCCTGTCTTAGTTAAGAATTCTGTTGACTATCTGTCCCCCTTGTAAAAGTTACGGTAATTCCTGTCTTAGTTAAGGTTTCTGTTGACTATCTGTCCCCCATGTAAAGTTACGGTGTAATCCTGTCATACTCCATTACCGAAGGAAGTCAGGACAGGAACTCAAGGTAGGAACCTAGAATCAGGTTGACAAAAACAAAACAAACCAACAACAACAACAAAAAAAAAACCCTAACCAGAACAAATCCCAGAGCACAGTTCACTCCTTAAAGTGTCCATTTTAAAGCAATGCTAGGGCTTGAACTCAAGACTTTGCAGAGGCCAAGCCTCTAGTTCATTCCTTTTAATGACTGAGTGATATTCCATTATTTCCTTGTTAGAGTTATTTCCAGCTAGTGTGAACAATGATGTAAACATCTGAGTGTATGTTCTCAGTTCTCTTCCGTGCACACCTAGGAGAGGAAGTGCTCCCGGCCCTGCCTCATGGTTTCCCACGTCTGCCAATTTGACATTCCCACCAGCACAGTATAAGCTCCTAATCTTCCCACATTTCCACCAGTATTTACTTTGCATTTATTAAAATCATGGCCATCCTTGTAGGTATGAAGAAGTACCTCCTTGTGGCCTCACTGCATTTCCCTGATGACTGAGATAAAGGGACAATAGGGATCTCTTTGGGGTTGGCAATCTGAGTGTCCTCCTTAAAGAAATATTAACTGAACTGTCACCATTATAAACTTGGGTTTTCTGTTACTGAGTTATAGAAGTTCTTCATCTTCTCTTTCTCTTTTATTTTTTAGTGTTTTGCTTTTGATTTTCTTTTTTCTTTTTTTTTTGGGGGGGTTGGGGGTTTTTGTTTTGTTTTTTCAAGACAGGGTTTCCCTGTGTATCCCTGGCTGTCCTGGAACTTACTCTGTAGATCAGGCTGGCCTCAAACTCAGATCCACCTGCCTCCGCATCCTGAGTGCTGGCATTCAAGGTGTGTGTTAGCTCAGGGTAGTGTCAATCTATCTATCCCGCTGCTGCAGCCTCCCAAGTGATGAAAGTTCCTTTTAGAGCCTATAGCAGCTCTGTGTTGTGTTCACTCATTCTGGGGACTGACTTTTCATTCCTGAATAATGTGTCCTTATATCACTGAAGTCTAATTTATCATCTTTGTTCTTGTTCTTATGCTCTTAGTGTCATAACAAGGATAGATTCCCTAAGGACAAATCAGCTTTATAGGTTAGGCTCTTATGTCCAAGTCTTCAATCCAGTTAGAGTTAATTCTGCGTGTGGTGTGAGGTGAGCACTCACTGCATCCCTCTGCATGCAGATATCCAGCTTTCCCACCCGTGTGCTCAAGAGACAGTTTCCCTTATTGGGTGCTCTTGTTACTCTCTGCAAAAATCCTAAGAGAGGGCCGGGCGGTGGTGGCGCATGCCTTTAATCCCAGCACTCGGGAGGCAGAGGCAGGCGGATCTCTGTGAGTTCAAGACCAGCCTGGTCTACAGAGCTAGTTCCATCTAGGACAGGCTCCAAAACCACAGAGAAACCCTGTCTCGAAAAACCAAAAAAAAAAAAATCCTAAGAGAGGCTGGAGTGGTGGCTCAGCAGTTAAGCACTTACTGCTCTTGGTTTCTAGAACCCCACTGGGGGCTTACAACCACCTGTAACTCTAGCTCCAGGCACCAGGCACACATGCAGTACACATATATGCAAGCAGGACTTGCATACACATAAAATATAAGTGCATCTTTTTAAAAAATGAGAATAAGCCAGGTGGTTGCTACACGCCTTTAATCCCAGCACTCAGGAGGCAGAGGCAGGTGGATCTCTGAATATGAGGCCAGTCTGGTCTACAAAACAGTTCCAGGACAGCCAGAACTGTTACTGTTACTGGAAGGGAAAAACAGAGAGAACTGGGAAGCAGTTCAACGTAGATGCATGGGTTTTTGCAGACTTGGTTAAGCCTGTCCTTGTGCCCTGTTTGGGTTCTGAGCTTGCTAAAGTGATTTTAGAGTAGGTTGCTGCAGGTCCCCCAGCTTTGTTCTTTCTTGACATTGTGTTAGTTATTCTGAGTCCCTTACCATCTCACCATTTCTTATCTTGGCCAGAAAATGTTTTTCTCCCTCAAAATACTCTAGTACCAAACTCCCTCTCTATTACACAGTTCTTTTCTAATCTCCATCTTCCTCTTAATCT